ATATAAGTGTTTAACACTGTAAATTTCCCTCTAAATACTGCTCTAGCAAAATTCCACAAATTGATATGTTATATTGACATGTGTGATCCTTTGTAATTTTCCTTATGGCTCATTCTTTAACTCACAGGTTAGTTAGAAGAGCGCTATTCACTTTCCAAATGTTTGAAGATCTTCCAGATATCTTTCTGTAAATGATTTCTAGTTTAATTCCATTATGATCAGAACATATTTCATATGATTTAAATCCTTTTAAATTTACTGAGTCTTGTTTTATGGTCCAAAACATGGTCTATATTTGATGTATCATGTTCACTAGAAAAGAATGTATATCCTTATGTTGCTGAGTGGCATGCCCTAACAAGTAACAATTAGGTTAAGTTGGTTTAAAGTGTTATTCGTGTTATAACCTTATTGATTTTCTGCTTACTTTTTCCTAAGGGGGTATTAAAATCTTGAACTATAATTATGAAGTTGTTTATTTTCTTTTTGGTTCTATCATTTTGGTATCATTTCCATTCCACCTGAAGAATTTCCTTTAACAGTTCTTACAGTGCAAGTCTGCTGGAGAAAAATTCTCTCACCCTTTTTTGTTTCAAAAAGTCTATTTCTTTTTTTTAAGGGTGTTTTTATTGTATACAGAAATCTAGGTTGCCATTTTTTTTTCCCTTCCAGCATATTAAAGATGACATTTGACTGACTTCTGGCTTGTACTGTTTCTGCTGATAAGTCTGCAGTCATTCTATGTTCCCTTGTATGTATGTATCGTTTTTTCCGTCTGCCTTTCACATTTTCTCTTTATCACTGGTTTTCAGCAATTAGATTATGATGTATGTTGATCTGTTTTTTTTCAAAATGTCTTTTCTGCCTTGAGATTTGTTGAGATTCTTAGATCTATGAGATCTATGAGTTTATAGTTTCCATCGAATTTGGAAACATTTCAGCCACTATTTCTTCAAATATTTTTTCAGCTTCTCCCACTTTGGCTTACTAGTGTGCCACAGGTCAATATGAACAGACTGCAGTCCTGTTCTGCCTATAATCCAGTTATATACATATCCTGCCCAATTCTAGCTGTTTATGTGGAGAGTAAATCCAGCACCAGTCAGTCCTTCATGGCAGAAGAAGTGTCTCTGCCTCCTTCACTTTTTGATTGCTTTAAAAAATTTCCTCTTTAGTCTTTTTCCTCTGCATGGTTCAGTTTGATTTATTTATATCTCTATGCATTCAAATTCACTGATCTTTTCTTTTGCAGTTTCTAATCTGCTGTTAAGCCCATCCAGTGAATTTTTAAAATTCCCTTTAGTTCTTTTTGAAAATGCATATTTCATTTTCTCTTCTGTTCATACTGTTCTTTAAATCCTTGAGTATATTTATGATAATTCTAAAATTCTTGGTATGGTCATTATGTGTGTCATTTCTGTTTTTTTTTTCTTTCTTTAACCGGTTCACTTTTCTTTTGATTATAAGTCACATTTTCTTGCTATTTTGTATGCCTAGTAATTTTTTATTAGACACCAAACACTATGAATATTACATTATTCAGTATCTAGATTTTGCTGTCTTCCTTTAAACAGTGTTGACTTTTTCCCCTTACCTCCCTTCCTCCTTCCCTGTATTTTTCTAACAGACAAGTTACACGCGTATTCACTTGATCTTTTGAAGGATTTTTAAATTAAACTTCTTTAAAGTGGGCCTCAAGAAGCTCAATCCTTTTAACCTAACTAGTAAGCCATGACCCTTACGGGGTCTCCCACTTAGGCTGCTTAGAACTTAATTTCTCTTAGCCCTGCGTAAGCTCTGGGAATTATTAACCTTACAGCTCCCAGAGACTCCCTTGCCCTGCCGTGTGGAGTCCTATCCTACACACTGTCAGCTTGGTATTCAGCAAGAGACCCAAGAAAGAAGGCACCTCTGCAGTTTGCTTGAGCTACTTTTCTTCACAGGTCTTCCCTCCCTGACACCCTGTCTTGCAAATTTCACACATTTCCAACATCTTGAACTCAGACTTCGGTCTCCTCAACTCAGAGTCCACTGAACCCTGCCTGGGCTCTCCCTCCCGCTCTGTGCTAGAAAGTGCCTCCAGGCAGAAAGCTGAGGGAATTATGACCCCTTTGTGTGCAGCCTCCTTTCCTCTTCTCTTAGGGATCATGGTCGTGTTTCATCTACAGTGCAATGTCTGACAATAGTAGAAGTCTCTCTCTTATTAATTTTGTTGCTTAATCGTCTCAAATTTTGTCAGAGAGCACTCCTTCTTGGTGGCTTCTTTTTTTTAATGTTCTTTTGATATTTCCCTACAATTTTTAAAGCATACTTTCTGGTACAATTAGATGTTCTAAGCTCACCTTGTACTTTTCTGGCCTCAGACCTGGAATCAGAATTTTCTCCCAGAAGATCTGGTGGTCCTTTAGTAAAGAATTGCATTTAAAGACCAGATGTGACCATTCAGCTTGCTAACTGCTACTGACACTTCGAGGTTCTTGGAGGGGTTTTGGACACTTCAATTTATAGGTTAGGCTTCTGTTAGGAACGGAAATGGCTGCAGCTGTTTGGACTCTGTGAATTAAAACAAATAAATTATAGCTCCTTTCTAGGACAAAACCTCACAGTGGGGAGAAACTGCAAAACTAGGACAGTAGAAGTAAGTTAAAAAGAAGATCCAAGTGGCAGAGGGCAGCAGAAAGTACAAGGACCTATTTTTATTAACTTGCTTTAACCAAGAAAGAGGGAGCTCTAGAGCTATGACACGAAAAACTCTGCCCTGAGACACCCTATGTGGGCAAAATGCAAAGTTACTTATAAGGGAATAAAAATCAGACTGCTTTTCCATTTTTTAAGAGCGATGCTTTATGTGAGAAGACAATTAGATAAACTGACTAATTAAGATAGTCAGGGAAAGAAATGATGAGCCAAAGATTTCATATCTATCCAAACAAACTTTAAAGTAAAAGGCCACAGGCAAACTGCTAAGATGATCCTGTGACCCCTTCGTGGAAATCTGGTCAAGAACAAGCTTTAGAGAATCACAATTATCGAAAAAACAACAGCAGGAGGGCTGATGGTTGGATTAAATAGCTGTTTACCCATAGAACAGAGAATAAATGAGGTTTATAAAGGGGAGAGTGCAGTATGTAATGGCTGTTTGCATTCCAATCTAGATAAAGCTCAAGAATCAAAAAACAGTGAGAATGAGAAAAGCATATGCAAAGCAGAATAAGCTTGCTGATTACCTTATGTTTGTGGGGAATAAAAAGATATTACTTCAAGCCAGAAGATGGGAGAAGGAAAGGAAAGGGGGAAGAAGAAATGACTAGACAATTTTAATATTGCTCATACATAAAGGAACAAAAAGAAAAAAAAGATGGAGGAGGAACAAAGACCATTTATAAAAGTATAAAGGTAGCCATCAGAATAAAGATACAAATCTTCCTAAAAAGAGAAATCAAGTAAAATAGACTATATAGTGCAAGGCTTTTTATATAGAAGACTTGTATATGGGTAAAATAGAAAAACATGACAAAACTGAGACTAAACATACAGATCACATCAATAAATATAAAGTTTTACATTGGCTACAAAGTTCGACACTTTTTAAAGCAAAGAAATTCGGAAAGATAAGAGAATAAAAAGATGGATAAAGATTTGTCAGGCAAATGCAAAGAAAAGAAGGTAGGAGTTGCAATTCTAAAATCTGACAAGGTAGATTTATGGGAGAAAATCATAAGGAGTCAGATTTTTAAAACAAAATATTTTATAACATGTTAAGGAATCCAGATTTGCAGTCAATAGGAGTCTTGAAGGCTTAACCATAGATGGACAAGAATCAGACGTGCACGTTAAAGATGGACTAGACTGATGTGACATGAGAGGCAAGGGGTACAATCAGAATCGGGCAAGGTGACAATTACTGCTTAAATATCTACACTAGACCAAGTGGTTTACACTCATGTTCTCACTTTAATTCTAATAATTGTATGAAGTGAGCCTTATTATTCATATTTCATATACAGAGATTCTGAATCTTCCTAAGCTTCAGAATCTACATATACGAACCTGCCCAAGTGAACCAACTAGTAAAATGCTAGAATCAACATTTTAAAGTCAGTTGTACTTAACTCTTTGCCACCATACAATGCTATTTGTTTTTTTGTTTTTTAAGGTCCGTAAGAAAGAGTGAGGGTCTACCACAGTGCAGAGGGATAGGTATTTAAGAAACATAATTAGGAAGTTTGGTGATGGACTAGACATTGTGAGAGACTAACTAATAATAACAAAACAAAAGAAATCAAGAATTCCTGAGGCATATAATATAAAAGCTAGTATCCACAAGGAGTTACAAAGACACCAAAAAGTAACCAGAATGTCCTTTTATGCCCTTTTATTGTTTACTGCTTTTATTCTTCCCCAGACCTACACTAATTAAACCAAGTACACATCATTTGTTATGCGTCTTTTAAAAAAAGCCCCAAACACGATTACAACAATAACCAGGTCCTGAAGAAAACTATTAAGACTGGAATAAATACACCAACATTCAGATAAAAATTCAAAATGGATTACCACAAAGGTGGCACTGCATGCTTCCTTCTTTTTCCCTTTGGGGAAAGGGCAGATTTTTAAATTAGTAACAGCCTCATACTACCAAAATGTTTATTTTCAGCGTACAAGGCATTGAGAGCAAAAAAGTCTTCTTACTGCACAGGCTTCAGAAACTGATTTACAGGGATAAAAGCTAGTTAGCAACACGTACATTTAAATTCTTAAAGTCTTACGACTTGTTACAAAGTCACAATATAGAGTCTTCTCGTTTTTCTATTTTTAAAAACAAAACCCTTGAAAATCCTCTGAAAAATTTTCTCTTCATCTAATTTTTGTTTCATTCTATGGCTCCAACTTAGTCTTCACAATTTCATACAAGATACTCTACTGAATTATTTCTAGATGTTTGATTAGTTAAATAAAGATATTCTGGACTCATTTCTTTTATCCCATCTCATACTTACACGGAATGGTTCTCAAATAGAGATTATCTCTGATCACTTGCTGCAGTTTGTGGTCAATTGATCCTTTCTGAAACTGAAGACTTAGGTAATGACGCAAATCTTTATTAATGACTTTGCCTACAAAAAAAACACAGAAGACAAAACACATAACTGTTAGATATCCAGTTAAATATCGATGCTAGTGAATGAATAGCTTTAAAACATTTAGCTATAAATGGGAAAAAGAAATAAAAATAGTTCACCAAAAGCAAGATAACTAATACCAAATTATTATAGGTACTATAATTAAAACATAAACCTGCAATACACAATGTGGGCATAATTTTACATGGTAGGAGTGGGAGGAGGTGTAAGGTCAGAAAATATAACAAATATTCAAGTTAATTTCATTCAGTTCCATGATTTTAAATGCGATCTATATGCTGATAAGTTCCAAATTCTTATCATATCTCTATCCCTGACCTATCTCCACCAGGCTCCAAACTCATCTAACTCCTTCATATATATTTCAGATATATTTGTAAGTCAAATAAGCACCTCAAATTTCAGATAAACAAAAGAGAACTCTTAACTCTATCCTCCTCCAATATTTCCTACTCTTCTAGTTTTCCCTGTTTTAAAAAATTACCACCACCCATCTAAAAGAACAAACGCAAAAGCTAGAGGTCATCTCCAATTTCTCCTTTTGACTTTTATCCCCTGAAGCAATTTATTAGCAACTTTTGTCAGTTCTCCCTCCAAAACATATCCCACACTGCCCACTTCTCTCCACTTCCATTGCCACCACCCTAAGCTAAGCCACCATTTCTTATGTGGAATTCAGCAACAGCCTTCGAATTGGTCTCACTGCATCCACTCTTGGCTCCTTCCTGCTCCCACCATTCACACAGAAGCCAAAATGAGATTTTAAACATAAATCAGATAATCACTACTCTGTTTAGAGCCACCCAATGACTTCCTGCTGCTCTTGGAGTGTAATACAAACTTCTAAACAGGGCCTAGGAGGCCCTACCTGTTCCAGCTCCGGCCATCTCTGACCAGGCTCCTTCACCCTTCCCCTGTCAGTGTCCCACCCACACTGGCCATCTTTCTCATCTCTAACAGGCCAAATGGGCCCTACTCAGAACCTTCCGTGTATCACTAGAGTGAACGGGCATTTTCTATCCACTTGCTTGACTCCTAGATACAATGTGAATAAAGAAGAGTGAAAGATTTTCTTATTTATGGGGAAATAAGAGGAGTATTAGGGATCTCAAAGAAATACTAAGCAGAAAAAAACAGGGGATCACAGAAGTCTGATAGCAGTGGATTTATAGTAAGGGTTGAACTTTAAATGAACATCAAAGCAATCCAACACTGTTCCTTAGACAAGACTTCAGATAATTAGAAAAGAACAATGCTAAAACAGACTAGATTATCTTGTTGAATTAGAAATGACTAGTCGATTAAAATATACTCTTGTTTATTTGGAATAGTACAGTTACGACCAGATTAGATAAGCCAAAAGGTTACTGCAGATCAGTTCATCCTTTTAACTATTATTCCGTAACATAGCATTTCTAATCCCCTCTTTTGGTCTCTTCTCACATATATATAAATAAACATTGCCTATAGAGAGAGTGTTTAAAAAAGCAGGAAATCACAGTGCTTCTAAAGTTTAGAGATAACATTCAGCTCCTTAAACTAATAAACATAAACCAAAAAGTCCCTGTTTCGCCTTGTCAAAAATAGATGCGGAGGAAGGGGGGAAACTCGTGATCAAAGAAGAAAACTTGAAAGACATTTACAGGTAGAACACAGAACAATCTGTGGTCTCAGAGGCTGCTTCTGCCAGGCTTTTAGGGGTCCCACCAACCCAAGGCCAATTTAGATGGAATCATATTATTTTATTCTTTATTTACACCACAATACTTGTTCATTGCTAGGTAGAAGAAAAACCTAATTCATAATCAATACTGTCCAGTTTCATTGCTTATTGAACAAAAACATACCCAATAATAAGTTCAACTAAGTATTTTAAAAGTTAGGTAAGGAGTGTTTCAAATGCATTGTAATTGTAATCATTATACAATAACTTTGGTGGATTGTTACATAGATGCTTAAAAGTGTTGTGATGTTTGCAGGGTTTTTGGCTAGACAGAGAATGCATTATTTTTTTCTTTTTAAAAGAACATTATCTAGGCTCCAATGTCTAAAAGCCTACTATCGAACAGATTTTAAGGAATAGATTTAATATGGATAAAGGATAATGCCTGTTTTATTAAAGAAGACACTCTGAATCAACACTTAATTCAAGCTTTTCTGTTTTGTTTTTAATTTGAAGCTTTACTATAAAATGTGGTATAACTCAGAGAGATAACTATAAGATGCTAAAAACCCAGACTAGGTTTTAATCTATAAAAACAACAGCCATTAAATTAGATATAAGGAAAGACAAAGCCATAATACAAATCAGAGATTACAAATTATAGCATAAGGGGCTCTCTTAAGGGAAAAGGAAGTTAAACAACTCAATTCCTGTTTCAAGGGCCCACAGAGCTTACAACTGAGAGAACTGTTAAAGCAGAAAGAATTAGATTTGAAGAACAACACTGAGAATTATCAGGGCAGGAATAACTTCTTCACCCTCAACTTCTACTGGGATTCCAGATGCAACACAGAGATAAACAGTTACAAAGAAGAGGTGAAGTACAATTTCTTAAATGGGATATTTTATTTAAAACGTGCAACTATTCAAAGAAGTCCTCACACTTTTCTGAGGTTGGTGACAAAATATTACAAGTATCAATGAAATGCCAATTATAAAAGATTAACAAATTATATGGGTTGGCATTCTTTAAGATGAATAATAATAAATAATAAAATACATTGGATATGGTAGTCATCATGGACTTCCTTGCTTTAAGAAACCAAAATATCTTTTTTAAGGGGACAGAATATTATGGTTCCCTCTTTGATGTGATTCCAGGGAATTTCTTAAAAAAAAAAAAGTGTAAATATCCTGAAAAGGCAGATGGCTATGGAATTACCAGAAGGCCAACAGAAACATTAGCTCACAAAGACACTGCTGGGATTATCTATTTAATCGAATTGTATATGAACTTCTGCCTCTTGTTTAGGGAGAGTTTCACAGAAACTTGACATTTTAAGAGTATGAAAAACATCTACCTGGGGTTAATGCAGTTGCTTTTCAACAAATAAGAAGAAAAGATTCTTCAGATTTGCATTCGTACGTAGCCAACCTTTGCTTTTAAGTGTTAAGATTATTTTTTGACTTCTAAATGATGTGTAAGTCAAGTTGATTTATGAAACTTAAAAACAGGTCTATAAATCTTACAAACATAGCTCAGGTGGGGAAGTCTCCATCATATAAATAAACTCAGGCACTCAAGTTTCATTGTACAAATTCTTAGTCAAAAGAACTCCTCACTCAGATCCATACTTTCTGAACGTGTGCCACTATTCAGCACCATTTCCCTCTGAGGAATCAGTAGACAGTCACTGGTTATTATTTAGACAAACACTGGGGCATGCTGGCTTAGGGGTGGCCACCCAGGCAGCCATTAACCAATCCAATTGCCAACACTGCACTGTCTTTTCCATCAGGAAAATCTAGATTTTGTCAACCGCTTTTTAAAGTCAAGATATGACATGTCTTTACTATTGTCTAACCCAGAATTATACAATTGAAAAAAAGAAAAAAAATGAGGTCAGTTTGGCATGTCTTGTTCTTATACATTCACACTGATTCATGGGTCACCCCATTCTTTTCTATACACTTTCAATGTTTTATTTTTATTTTTTATAATCTCTGAATGTTGTTACAATTCAAAGTTAAGGAAGTAGACTCGAGTTTTCACTATCTATGCTTTTGGGGAAACTGGGACGTTTGGCTTGCCTCAGACCCCTGGTACATCCCACACTCTCCATGATTTCACAAAGAGTATTGACAATAACCCTGAGATCATATCTGAGAGTCCCTTTGACTCCTGGCAGGCAATTCAGCTGAGGCTTGAAAACTTAATTTTACTTAAAGTGAATGCTACCCTTATACTCTCTTCATCTTTTAAAAACTTAATTCCCTCATTTTGAAGTTGTTTTATCTTTCACGACTGGAAAGATAATTCTTCCAGTTCAAGATGATGGAAGCAAAGTAAGAATGGTATAGAACTGATTTCTGTCTATAAACAGCTAACAAAACACTGTCTTCTGACAGTAAGCCTCTCTCTTCCTTCTCATTACTCTTGCTCCAAACACAGCCTTATAAGTTCTTTCAGCTCTCTGAAGTATCTCAACTCCTTCTGAGGTTTGACCTATAGTAAAAGAAATTCTTAAATGTTTATTTCTTACAGTCTACTTAGCACTGCACAAATTTGATTATGTGCTCCATCCAACTATCAAATCATACACATCTCTTAAAAATTCTGAGCTGCTCAGAACATTCTGTGTACCCATAAGAATTCTTCACATAACTTTTCTTTTGAAAATCTCTAGTCCTGGAATCACATCAACAGATGCTAATAACTGTTAAAAACCTGTTTCCCTCGAAGGCACAGTATGGGCATCACCATGTCCCACTTCTCTTCCATAATTACTGTGGTGCCCGTGAGATAGCTTGGTGACTTTCCCCAATAAACTGTTCAATGTAACTAGCTCAGCACAGATAATCTTACTAACTAGTCGTTGCCCATTAGACCTGGACTCTTCCTGTGCCTCCTGAGCTCCACAGCAGTGAGAGAACGCGCCATGGAAGGAGTGGAAAAGATGCACATAAGCTTAACTCCAAACTGGCTCCTTGGTTCAAGGCAGGAGGTCCCTAGAACAAAATAAACCAAACTCCACTTGTTTGTGAAACTGTAAGTGGGATTTAAGCAAGACTTTTCTAGATAATCAGTATCTACATATTTCATAGTAAAATATATCCTATGGCACAAACAGTCTTAAAAAATATCTTACATAGTTGTTAAACATGAAAGTTTGTCAGCTCTCGCAGGGTCAGCACGATGGTTTGTTTTTACAGATTTAGTCCCAGGGTCTAGCACATAGAGGGAGGAAATCAGCTAAATTTGGTATTTTCAACTGTTCATGTGACCCTCCACATTCTCTAATACGTAAAA